CTCTGATTTTTTGAAAAATAATTATGTTGAAAACTCATTTAAGAAATAAAAAATAATGGGAACGTATTACAAGGGCCCCCAGTGCTGAAAAGAACAAAACATTGAGCGACCTTACTGGGCATCAGTGAAAGAGGCATCAGGGTGAATTACCACTCAAGTCTATTAGGAAATTAAATTCAAGGGCAAAGAAAGTGTTAAAAGTACACAAGCTAAGCTGTTTCATCATAAAGTTAAGAACTAGGATGACCTCTTTCACCTGTTTTTATAGAATAGGTAAAAATTAGAAAAATTATTTGTTAAAACTGAGGAAAGGGTAGTGACTTGGTTTCTCTTTCGGTGCTAGTATAGAATATAAATACAATGGTGCTCTTCCAGTGAGGGTGAACATTTCAACTTGATGACTAATAACTATAGTTAGCATTATAGAAAAACCGTCAGAGCTGTGTATATAGACACGCACATGTGGCTTGGAGTTTGACACTGAAAAATTTCAGATTGGAAGATACTGCCTTAAACAATACCAGACTGCTTTAATTTTAATCGTACTAAAATGTTGTTGGACATTCCTGCCAAAATGCAAGTTCTGGTAGTTGTGAGTTTGGCCGCAGGACCAAGCTTCTGTGTTAAACTGATTACTTTAAGTCTAAGTGGCAATAACTTCAAAGAGGAAAATCACTTTCAGGTGTGGCCGAGGTTGGCCTTGTGATCTAGGAACTTTAGTCCCTGGGGTTCCATAAATGGAGATACTAGTTAATTTTTTTTTCTTTTGATTTGCAGTGGAGCTAGTTCTAAATTAAAAGGCCAAGCAATGCAGAGAAGCCAGATCCTCAGGTGAATCTGATACCAGTGAAGCAGAGCATCTTATTTGGTTTTTGTTTGTGTTAGCAGTATGCTGTCTACTGGGAGTTTATGGAAATCAAAATGCCTCCTTCATAAGTAATTTTAAAGGGTTCATTATATTCTTAAATGTGACATTTATAATTTTTTAGTGCCCACATTATTTTTTGGAAAAACATCATTTTACAAAACGATATCTATGGAAAAATATTATTTGATTTCACGAAATGTACTTTGGTAGCCAGATTTTCCAGAATACATTTATTGTCTGAAATCAGAGTGTTGTGATTTTCATTAAAAAGGATAGCAACATAAAATATTTGCTATCGAATTTAGTACTCAACAAACCCAATTTCTCATACAGTATTTTAATATTTTAGCTTTATCTTATGAGCGTTTTATCGAAATAAGCATGTTTCTTTTACAAGGTTATTTTAAAGAATGAATGAACTAACATGAATTTAAGTATTTCATACAATTTACATTTTTAAATTTTAAAATAGAATTAGTACTTACATTTTAATGCAATTTGGATTGACATCTACTTGAAAATTTTCGAGATTACTAAACATAGACCACAATCATTAAAAATGATTTAAAAGTATAAAGGCATGTTAAATTTTATCATGATTCAATATATTTAGTGTTAAAAGCAAGATATTAAATGGAATATACAGTTTGATTCAATTGCATATGAAATCATGGAATCCGTGAGGGTCATATATAACATTAATACATGAGCTTACATACATCCAGAAGGAAAATGTTGCCAGCAGTTATCTTTGGGTGGCTTTTTAATTTTTTTGTAGTTCCCAAAGTTTCTACAGTTAATGTACGTTTTACATTATATACATATATAAGCTTTTTAGAAATTCAGGTACATTGTGTTATGTATTTGCTTGTTTATTTTTGTATGTCTGTACTTCTGTGAACATGGCAGTAAAGAGTGGTGATTAGGGAAGTCCCTCCTGTGGTTAATTCTGGGGTGTCAAACAGGGCTATGACAAGCATTTTTATGTTTTTTATGCATTTTTTTATGTTGGGCTCACTCAAATGTTTTTATTCACACAGTAAAAATAAGAACGTACTTGTTTCTCTAAAATTCTAAAAGAGGTGGATCAAAAGTGAATTGATAAAAGGGTGATAATTTTGAGTCTAAGGGAAGAAAGACACCAGGATTTCAAAATACCACTCTCTGTATGATTATCAGTTCCCAATCCTATTGACAAATTCCAGAGGAGAATGTCTTTCTGGTTTTGTAGCAACAGAGCGTGAAACAAAGGAGATCAAAAAGTTTGCACAAGATTCAGAAAGTAAGCCTCAACCCGTGACCCGCCTTCAAAGCACCGGTTTACGCAGCCTCCTGTCATTTTGAAATCTGCAGTGCGTGGTCTTCAGAGGCCGCAGCTACTTTGTGACCGCTGATGATTTTTAGCATCTTAGGATTGGAAGTCTTTGCTCAATAAAGTATGAACTTTCTTCTAATTGACTGCAACTCCTTTTCCTTCTGGTTTGAAAATAATAAAGTGTGAAAAGTCGTTGACTAATGTGTTTCAAACACAATCTTGACATGAACTAGTTTACAAAACTATTTTCAGGTGCTGCTGTTGGTTGAACTTATTTCATAAGAGGATAAGAGGCTTTCCCACATTTAAGTGCCTGAATCGTTTCTGGATCCCAGTGAGATCTGTGTGAGGTTTTCTCTTTGATTTCTCTCTTTCGGTTTCTTGCCAATGTTTCTCGCTTCTTATTACAGACAGAATGAGGGCAGAAAAATCAAGTACTGCAGTAAATAATACAAAAGCAGTGGAAGGATGGCCAAAGGCCTAGGGAATTGTTCTTGACTCAATATCGTCATTCCTCTCTGGAAAAACAGAAACTCCAGTCGTGCACTGTTGACCGTCGAGTTCCCATGTCTCCAGTAGTGCTGGCCCAGGACTCAGAGAGCCTTCTCTCTGAGGGAGGTGAGAGGCTTCCTCCATCCCAGGGACTGGCGGTGGGGAGCAGGGCTGGTGACTCTGCTTCAGTCCACGGTAAACCAGGGCAGGCGACCTATAAAGACTTAGACAAAGATTTTTAAATTATATATTTGTTATATATTCAAAGATTTTTTAAGCCTTACATAATTTGACAAGAAAAAAGGATAGAATATTTATTGAGGACACTTGCCACTGAAATGCCAGAAATCATTTTACTGTGATTGAAAAAAATGAGACAATCTTGAGATTTTTGGCAAAAACAAATTCTGGGCAATTGAAGAGTGAAATATCCCCATCACTAAAATTATAATTGATTTTCTTTAGGGTTTGACAGGGAAAGGAATCAAGACAAATTATCCTGCATATTGTATATTCTAAATGTATCTTTCACCATGCTTGGGAATGAAATACAACCAAGGATAGAATTCACTGTTTTAATAAATATTCACATCGTTTTCAGTTTAGAGTGATTCAGATCCATTCTAATTTGTGTGAAAAATTAGAAGACTTATTTCCAGGGATTAATTTCTGATAAATGATGTGCCTCGGTCAAGATGACTTAAGTTTAGAAAATAAACTTTGAAGTTGGGCAATTGTAAAGAAAAAAATGGAAACCAGGGGGGTAGAGGGTGGGAAGGGATAGACTGGGATTTCAAAATTGTAGAATAGATAAACAAGATTACACTGGGAAATATACACAAAATGTTATGATATACACAGGGAAATATACACAAAATGTTATGATAAATCACAGAGAAAAAAATGTGACAATGAGTGTGTATATGTCCATGAATGACTGAAAAATTGTGCTGAACACTGGAATTTGACACATTGTAAAATGATTATAAATCAATAAAAAAATGTTAAAAAAAATAAAATAAAGGCAAAATAAAAATTTTATTCTACAAAAAAAAAGAAAAAAATGGAAGAAAAGACTGTAATCAGGGGAAAATAATCTAGGTTTTATATTACTTAAATTTTAGCTATCTGAATAATCTCTCCAAAGAACAGGTGCCCCTCAAAAAAATGTAGCTCTGGAATGAAGAGGGTGGAAAATAATACACGTTTCCTGGAAAAGGAGTTCCACCCTTTTTTTCTTTTTTCTTTTTTTTGCTTTTTATTTTCCCACACTTAGGATTTCAAGATCTCTATGTAATTTGGCGATGATCTAATTATTGGTAACAATCCTTTTACTAACGTCATCCGTAGGCTGCTTGTGCTCAGGCGAATTTCATGAGTGTTGTTTTAGGTCACTCAGGGCCTTTCCAGAATTGTTCACGAATGAGTGAACGGTTCCATTGCAATGTTCTCAGTTAGGGTCATGTCCGGAAGCTTTCTGGGTAGAGTAATTCCATTCACTTTTGATTAAAGAGCTCCAGCTAGCTAGATCAAGAAATGTCCCATGGAGATTATGAAAATTCTTTTCACGAACTAGTAACACTAAGAAATACTATGAAAGAACTCTGGGCTCCAGTTTCTCACTTCATCCAAATAGAATGTTGCACAACTTCCCTTGCCTTTCCCTGTCCCTCCAAGACGCGTCATGCTGACACCTTGCTCCTACATCCTCGGCTCGCTGTAGCTCAGGTTGCTGAAGCAACAGCACACACGGGGTAACATTCCCCCGTAACTACGGCGGCTGGGACGTGAGTCAGTTGAAAAGTTTCACTGGGTTTTTATTAGTCCATGATGTAGTCCCATGTCATCTACAGTGCCAAGCCCATCGAGATTCACACACGATGATGCAGAACACCCAATGCTCATCACCTTTGCGTGTTAGATGGTACAGGGACCTCTCAGGGAAGCCACTGCCATAGCTGGCTCCTTCCACGGTGCCCCTCAGTAATACCTACAATAGGCAGCCAAGAGTAAGACTCAGGCCCTGCTGCTGGCACTGCGCTTCTACTGTTGTAAATCCTGTGTGCTTAATAAGAGCCAGTGACTTTGGTTGATGACCAAGGAGCCCCTCTTTTCAACCCAGGGAACTGGACAATGGTTAACACCCCAGAAGACACATCTTCACCCCCTCTGTGGCCGGGAAGAGCATGTGTTGAAGAATAAAGATGGAATTACTGTAATTCTCTCTGGGAGTTTATGAATGTGGAACTTAACTATTTACTATTGATCGAAAGTGGTCCTGGAGTGCTCAGTGACGTCTCACCTGGGATTTGGTTTGTTTTTCAGACATGGAGATGACCTGATTGTGACCCCGTTTGCACAGGTAAGCACAGCTGGGTCACTGGACAGCTTTCTCACTCCTTTGAAAATTTCATTGTGGGGATTAGTTCTGGTTCTTAATGTCATTCTAAATCAAACATAAGTACAAGTACAAATTCTGTGGTTCATTCAGTAATTTAAAAGCAGTGCTAGAGAATTTGATCTTGGCCATATTGGTCTGTTTCCTGTAAACCCATAGACCCAAAGGGTGTCTTTGCTTCAAATTACAAATTATCTAAGTGACTTGCTTAAACGGGACCATATTTCCTTGACTGACATAAGCACTTGAAAAGGAAAGCTATATCACAGATTAAATTACATTTAGATAATTAGGTACATGATCAGTGCTTGAAATTCAGTATTCCAATTCAACCTGATGCTTTATTTACTCTTTTTTTTTTAACATGCTATTTGTCTAAAGATTTAACTGAGTGATGTATTTATACTTATTTGTTCCTTTTAGGTATACAAATCCTGAAAATACTTAACCACATGACAGAATTGCTAGAAGGTGAAAAAACCTTCTAAAGAAAGGTTATCTAAAGAAATCTGGAATATATATGAAGTGGTTGATAACCAGATATTTTTTGTAGAGGCCAGTGCTTCTCAACCCTAGCTACATATTAGAGTCACCTAGAAAGTTTTTATCCCATGCTGCACCTCTAATCAATTGAAAGGAAAAATCTGGGGTTTGGACCCAGGTACCTGTAATTTTTAAAGGCCCCAGTATTTTCTCAAGGGTAGTTGAGAGCCTCTAGTATCAACAGACTAGGGACGGAATGGGACAAAACTGATTTAACCTGGGGCGTGAACCAAGTGTAAAGTCAACACTGTTAATAAGAAATGTGAAATACTGGAATATAAGTGATTCAGAAGGTTATAAAATTCATAATCAAGGCTATGTCAGAACTGCCTCTACTGCCTTGAGCCACTCACTTAATTTCTCTAAGACTTCTTTTTTCAGTTGGGAAAATTGGGGGCTCAGCTGGATAAAGATAGGCAGGCCCCCATCAAAGCCCATCACCAACTCTGGCTCAGTGAACAGACTTGGACAGGCCTGGTTTCTCCCTCTGCCCAATGACAGTTCCAAGACTACCCACCTCTGAGGTTGTCATGAGACTGAAATAATACCAAGCTTCTAAAATGCCCAGCACAATTTCTAGAAAATAAAACACTTAATGAATTTTAAGCATTGTTATCAGGAAAGGTCCTTTCAACCTCCAAAATGTCATGATAGGCATCAGTTTTAAAAGCTGCATAATGGCAGTATTCGGATAGCAGGGTTAGGTATGATTCTTCCACTTTTTCAAGTTTTCTGAAATTTTTTAATTGCTATACCTTAGACCAAAAATTTAATGAGTCCGTGAATAACAAAGTGTAACAGTGATCACTTTCATTAATAGGTAATTAAAAATAGATTGCCATCACCATCCCCTTCAGAAGCTTAATGTCTCACTTAAGGTCTTGCTAGAGATCGTGAATTCTTTCTGAAAGCTGTATTTCTTGTTCAAAAAAATTAGTCTTTTATGTCTTAATCATATTTTGTGATAGCAAAATCATATAAAGCTAAGGACTTTTAATTGGTTACTATTGAGAATCCATAACTTTATACCTCAGAGCTGAGAGCTGAGTAGATACGATAAATCATGCAAAATAATATATAAATCACCACCACCAAATGTAGAAACAGTCATTCCAACTTGAGTTTATTTAGGTAGCTATTCTTCCTTCTGACTAAAATCTCTAGGTATTGTTGTAAGAAAAATATATGTGAATATATGGTAAATATGAAAAATTAATCTGTGTATACATTATCTTTTTATTTCAAATAGTATTTATTAATCTCCAACTAATTGATCAATAAATTTGACTTGGACCTTGCTATTAGCTCCCTGAAATTCTAAGGATATCTAGTCTTTTTATGTAATTAGACACTTTCTGTAGTATCCTTATAATCTCTAAAAATCTAATAGAATTTCAGGATACTGAGAAACATATATGTAAAATATCGTTTAGTCTATGTTAGTAAGCTGTTTAATTAAATAAGTGTGCACTTAATAACCCTGAAATTGGAACCTTGAATAAAAACCAACTCTGTGTAATTTGTAGGCACGACGTATGATGCCAGAAAATAATCCTCGAATCTATTTAGGAAAGTTTGCTTATGATTAGCTTAATGACTCATAACACCTTGTAGAAGGTGGTTATTGCCCCAGAGGCTGCAGATTTTTTTTAGTGGCTTCATCACAGTTTTCATAAGTAGCGTTTTACTAGGGTATATGATCCGGAAAGCTCTACTAGAATTAAAAAAAAAAAAGCCTGTTAAACCCTGAACAATTTTGCCACTAATAGAGCATCTTTGGGGACGCAGGTATAAAAAAAAAATGTCCAGTAAGGGGCTGTTTGTCTATGGCGTTCTCTTAAGTCCATTTGGGTACCACTAGATTATTCTGTTGACCTGACCAATAACTCCTCAAATGTTTAATACAGGCTAGAACATTCACCATTTAATGCTAAATATAATGATGCTTAAACTAAAAGACATTAGACATTAGATGTTTATGTCCCTTCAAGTGATACCAACATTATGTGGTCGAATATACCATAATTGCTTTCACCAGTAAGACAGAAGACAGTTGACGTCAGTGAAAAACGTTCATATAGCCCAAAGAATTCCCCCCTTTCCCAGAATGCTTTGGGGTTTGGAATTTCACACTAGATTCTTCTGGTGAAAAAGCCATAGCACTTTCAAACTAAAATCTTTTGCATAAAAAGTTTAGAAATGAAATGTAAGCAAAAGGAAGTAAAAGAAAATTCCCTATAATTCCAAACCCCAAAATAGGTACTATTGACATTTTACTTTAGACCCCTTTAGATTTATTTTTCTGTGCATATTTTCCTTCCCATAATTCTTAAAAATGAGCCTTGCACCGTCTAAAGTGGTCAGAGGTCTTTTCCCAAGCCCGTCTCAGATTCTGCCCCTTTTTGAGGTCTCATTTCTTTATACCTGCATTCATCTCCAAAACATGAAAGGATCCCTCCCTGTTGTTTCCCAGTCATGGTTTCCTGTGAAGCTAAGAGAATACAATCTTAAGTTATAAGAGAATTCAGAAAGACATGCAAGATTATATTCCACTTTGATGGACAGGGCTGAAACCTAAAATAGTGTGCATAGATGTCATCTTCAGCAAAGATCCTACATGTTCTATTCCCAAGTCTAAAACACTGTCAAGATGAGACATTCTTGACACTTTTCCACTTCCAGTTTCTTATTTTTCCCCCTATGAGCTCCGAATCTTTTTGATCTCCAGAAAAAATCACAGCTCTAAATATTTTATTTGTTTCCATTTTGAAATCTCTTCCTGTGTTTGTGTTGAAATCTTTGGGTTTGGATATTTCCTCAGTCTGTGTGAGAAAATTGAGAAGGGATCTGAATGCCATGCCATTCCAACGTGATGCCACTTGGCAACTGGCCTTTTCCTCCTGAAGGTGTAGTCACACTTTGGCCAGAGTTCTTGAGGGGACCAAGGAACACCGAGGAGGCACCACACTGATGAAGTTCAGGAAACCCTGCTTTGTAGTCAGTTGCCTCTGGCCCTGCCTGTCCCATTATTTATGATACGACTACCTTGTAAAAGTCTAAGTCCACTAGAATTCTCACCCGGAGGTGTGCAATGTTAAAAGAAGTGGACTCTTTAATTGAGAAAAAGACAGAAAGTATTTAAATACTATCTTGGATCCCTGGAGAGACCTTCATGTCATTCAGACTAAGGAGATACCCCTAATTTTAAAATGTAGGATGGGGACAACTGAGTCATTTCACCCTTACTTTTACTGAGATACAGAACCTGGGATCATTTTAGGGAAAATGTACTGGTTGTTAACCCTGTGGAACATTACGATTCTGCGGTAATTGGACATTATCAATTTTTTTTAATGCCCCTGTGTGTCTCTTCCTTGTGTCACCCAGAAGAAGCAGTCTTTGGCCTCATCACTGAATCTAACAGGCTCTCCCTGCTGGGCTAGGAAAGAAGGAAATCATCACATTTCGGTGGCTTCTGCCTGTTAGTTTTTTTTGTTTTTTTTTCAATCCTTTATAAAGTAAATTTCAATAGCATGTTCTATGAATCTGAGTATTTTTTAGGTTGAATTATATGAAATCATCAATATTAAATCTTTGTTGATATATAAAAGAGCAATTTCATATGGTTTTATCCAAAACATAATGTGGAGAGGTTTTCTATCAAAATGACCTCTCTATCTTGTAAATAATCATAATTTGGCTCCAGGTTTTTGCTGGAGGCAAAACCAAGGCAAGGAATTTTTTCTCCCTCCCCATTTCCCCCACTCCACCCATCCCAAGGCCTGTGGCAACTCACAGTCTGTGTCTTAGTGCCATCTAGTGGTGGAAAGTGTATCTGGCGTGAAAAGCCTCAAGACTATATCTTGTTATTTTTTAAGCAGGAGTTTTTAACAAGAATGTTATAACTGGCTCTTTTTCTTAAAAAAAAAAAAATCTCCTCCTTACATTTTTTCAAGAATTTATTATTGTGTAAGTGTACATTTCTTTTAGGGTAGTATGTTCAGATGTTTAACTTTTTAATGAAGCTCACATTTTCCTGCTATTTTCAGTGAATCTTATTGGTTACTAAATGTTTAGAAATACCTAGGATAATCTAAGATTACTATGTGTAAATAACGTTTAATCCCTCTCATGGGCCAGTACATCTCTGGGCAAAAGTTTTCTATTGCACTGTCATCTTTCTTTCCTAAAGTGTATTATTTTTCATTGTTTCCAATGTATTTTAATCTTGACTGATTATACTTTTGCTTGGAGGGGCAGAAGAAAGAGAAATGACCTTAATTTTCTAACCATTGAACTGTGTGGGAGAAAACCTTAGGGACCTTTTTGGTTAGCAAGCATTAAAGAACAAAGATTATAGGAGCGTGAGAGCTCTGACTACAGCTCTTAAAGGGTTGAATGTGAGGTGGGAGGGAGGTGAGACTTGCTCTATAATAAAAGCAAAGAATAATTGAACGCTAACTCAGGGGCTTATGTAAAACTATTTCTAGTTCCCCACCCCCTCCCCCAGCCTGCACTCTTTGTGTCTCATTCTTTGTGTCCTGCAATGCAGGTAAGAGCAGAAAAGACTGACACAGTGCATTCATGGTGTAAACGCCCAGGATCACTCAAACTCGGCCCAGGGCAACACCCCCTTGTGACATCTGGTTGGAACTTTCATTTTTCCCTTCTGCCCGTATCATGGGTGTCATAGTGCAGAAGGTAATAGTTAATACTTAATATAACATTTACAAAATATTATTCATCCTAGCATCATGACAGTAGTGTAACACTTGTGCACAGAAGGAATGGTACATTCACAAGGCTATTTACTACAGCAGTGTTTGTAAAAGCAAAACGTAAAAGATCATCTAAAAAGTCAAATGGATAATGGCAACAGGACTGAGTGGAGGAGGAGCTGAAAGGGAAATTTCTTCTTCCAGTTTTCATTTGGAAATATTTCATCCACATAAGAGACTATCTCTAGCAACTTTCCAAAATATAAAGAATAATGCTAACATCAACAATTTAAGAAATAGAATAGGACCAATATTTTAATGCCCCTAAGTGTCCCTCCCCAATGTTGTCTACCTGCCTCCTCTCAGAAATAACAATAATTTTGATTTTGTATTTGTTATTGAGGGAGAGACCATTTACTTTTGTTTAAATTCTATACCATATGACGATCTTGATTAGGTAAAAATAAATGTAAAGTTAAAAAATTAAATTTAAATTAAAACCCAAAATGAAAGACTCTAATTTAATATCTTTATTATAACAGACTCAAAAACCTTTGTAGAGAATAACGGGGGTGTGTGTTTATCTTTCATGAAGTCATGCTGCCTTTCAGATGAGTGTAGAACATGAATTACCCCCGGCACTATTTCTATGTGCCCAGCTGTCAGATGTAGTGCACTTACTCTAATTTATTAGAATAAAGTTCTCAGAATTCTGAGGTCAAAATTTTGCCTAGAACAAGGGTTGATTAGGGGGTGCAACAATCTTATTTAAAATGCTTTAGTAGCGTATTTGACATTCACTTCTTAAAGCATAAATTCCGCCTGCATGATTTCATGACAGTGGATCGTTTGTCAGATTTCTTTCTGCATCATTCAAGATTTCATGCCCAGTGAGAGACATCGTGGTTTGATGTCAGCAGTTGGCTATTTGAATACTCCGTCATGGGCAGCGTGACCTTTCCGCACTGTGAGCTGTTTATATGTGATAATGAGCCAGGTTTTTCCAGTGACTTAGCTAATCATGGTTGGCATTTTAGGAAACACCGTTAACTCCTTCAGGGGAGAATGCTGTAGGTCACTGTCCCTGGCATACTCAGTACCCCAGTGACTTACCAGAATAAATGCCAATTTCAAAAATGTCAAAGACATTTTAGCCTTAGAATAAAATTTAGACCGACTTCAGTCTAGGTCGATGCCCAGTAAAAAAATCTGGAAACAGTTCTGGAACCCTTGAAGGAGTTATAACTCTGACACCTCCTCCCATATTCTCAAAGAGAAGTAAATTCCTTATGCACGTGCCACATCATTAGTCCTGCAGGACATCGCTGTAATGGGCTAATATTCACCGAGTGCCATCGGTTTGCCAGGCACTCTTCTTGGCACATGATCTGTCATTTCCTCTCATCTTCACAAGCCTGTCAGGTAGATGTCAGTTCCCTGGTTTACAGGTGAGAAACTAAGGTTCGGAGAGATGACGGCACTTTTCTGAGTTCACGTTCACACATTGAATATGTAACAGAGCCAGGCGGTCTGGGTTGTTATGTGGTACCTAACAAAGCACCTGAGATCTATGCTTGAGGTCAACATTCTGGTGGTCACCCAGATCACTCATGATCTCACCTAACGTAGGTCCGCCTCCTACTGGGGGGAAACTTGCCCATTTTAAGAGAAAGTGAGTGGGGTAGAAGGAGATAGAGCTCTTGTAATTTCTCTTCCCCAGTCTTCCGATTCTTTGCCAATTTATAGTTTCACTAGAATTAGAAAAAGGAAGGGCTATAGAGGTAGGGGGACTCATGGTCCTGCCCTGTGTCTGTGGAAATGTTGTGTCTTTGTGCTCATTTATTCAACAAAAATTTTTTGAATGTTTTCTAGGGGCCAGGCTCTGTGCACATACAGGGTGGTCTCATTTTATTTGTGACCTTATAATTATTTTTTTAACTTTTAATTTTGAAATAATTTTGGATTTACAGAAAACTTGCTAACGCAGTACAGAGAGTTCCCATATGCTCTTCATCCACTTTCTCCTAATGCTAGTATCTTACAGAATCATAGTATGATGATCAAAACCAGATAATTAATGGTGCAATACTATTAACTGAACTTCAAACTAAGCATTATATAAATTTCATCAGTTTTTCCACTAGTTTTTTTTAACTTTGTAAGTGACCTTATAATTCTTGATTCAGATAAACTTAACAAAGAAAAGGATCTGTTTAGTAGCTAGAATAGCCATGTGGCAAAAGTGAAAAAACAATTAAAATTTACTTAGCTTACTGACTTCAAGATTATGACATTCTTGGTGAATTTTTGAAGAGAAATTGAGGGTAACTTTGTTTTCATATTGCCCCCAAAGTAAGACTTTCTTACTATTTTATATTACACTATTTACATTTGCATAAAATGCAGCAGCACTCATTGTATATTGCCTGGGACATTTAGTGGCTGAGGAACCCAGGAATACTGTGGAAACTGCTGCTACTGTCACTTTGTTCATAGACGTTGAGGAGGAATGTCTGGAAAATCCTTAAATCTGGCCTCTCTGGATTTCAAATGGATACGTGTGAACTGTGCTAGGTGCTAGAAGATTCTTCAGTAGTATATGAAACCAAGTTGCAAGCAATATCAACTTTTCACTTAACAAACCATTTTTTACAATCACCAAACCATTTCAAATTCCACTAGAGAGGGCCCTATTTCAAGAAGTTTAAAGAATTCTTTTCTTTGTTGTAGGTCTTGGCCAGCCTGCGAACCGTACGAAACAACTTTGCTGCATTGACTAATTTGCAAGACCGCGCACCTAGCAAGTAAGTTATTTTTTTTACCCCCTCCTTCTGGCTGACCTTTCATACAGTGTTTCCTGAATTTGATTGAACTCAAGGCAATATATTAGATTTCTCTGAATCGTCGCCATGTTCTCTAACCATTTACACTAAATCATATGATGTCCTGTTAATTTTCTATAAATACTTTGTAGTGATGCTTCTAATATCAGAAGTGAAACAGGATGACAAATAAATATGGTGATTCCATCTGTCAGAAATCACCTGGTGTAATCAGTCCTCTGCCCAGTTATTTACACGCAGGGTAACTTTATAGTTTTGGCTTACTTCATAAAGCAACCATGGGCAAATAATGTCTTCACGCCATAAAGCCGACCCAAAGTCAGCCTCTTAATTCTAAGGCAACCATTACTTGGAGAAGCGTCATATCATAGCAAAGGTCTCCAGTTCTCCTGCTGTTACTGACTCAGATCAGCAGCATCATGGAATAATTAACAAAATTGGAATTTATGGAATAAATTGGGATTTATGGAATAACAGAGATTTATGATTGGAATTTATGGAATAATGGGAAGCATTTGAAAGAGAGAAAGCTGAGATGAAAAATAATTATCACTTGGGCATTCTAATAAAGGTGGAAAATGCAAAAAAAATTAATTTTCCAAGATTAAATGGAAGACTGATTCGTCATTCAGATGCAATTATTGTGACAATTTATTATGAACAATAAAATATTATCATTAAAATACCAACTCCAAAGAATTTTCCCGAAGAAAAGAAAACACATTTCTTTAAATCTATATTAAGAGGACAGTGAATAGAAATTTACTTGGAATTATAACTTATCTAAGCATATAAAATTTTGTTGTAGCTACAACTTCTTAAAGAACACAAAATCTAAACTTTCCATCCCATGATAATAGAATTGAACTCCCAAATTCACCTTTTCTGTGATTAAAATAAGATCTCTGGTCATTATGCACACACTTCCCCCCGTGATAGAACAAGGTTTTTTTGTTTTTTTTTTAATCACTATAAATGCCACAATGCAGATAATCCGAATGGAACCCAGAAGCTTCCATTGATGGTCTTGTTTTTCAGGTAGTGAAATTTTGCAGTCCTTCCTCAGCCTAAGCATCTCTCACTTTCTTCTTCCCCTCCTCATCCACCGGGTTAACTGCAATTCATTCTTTAGGTCACAGCTTAAATATAATTTCTTTTAGAGCATTGTCTCTAAGACCCAACATGCACCTACACCCACAGGTTGGTGGCCCAACCTGGGTGGTATCCCTTTACGTCACCACCTGATTGCATCCTGTGCTTAACCCCTGTTTTCTCTCGGCGTTCCAGTTGCCTGTTTGCTTATCTGGATGCTCCTTAAGAATGACGGTTCCCAGAAAGCAGGGATCGTGTCTGGTTTACATTTGTATTCCCAGTGCCTAGCATGATATGACCCCTGCGCAGAGTAATCACTGTACGCGTGCATCCTGGCTGGAAGGGTGACGTGGTGATGCAGCAAGTGAAACTGAGGCTGTGCTTTGAACTGTTTGTTCATTACCAAGCATGTCTTCTCTGTTCAGTGGCCTCTTTGGGGCATTTGGCATTTGTAGTCCAAGGTGCACTCACCTCCTATGGAAAGTCTCAGCCCTGCAGGAGAAATGAAATGACTGATGTCCCTTCAAAACTTTTTTAGCCTCAATTTTTATCCAGGAAATTGAGATTTTTGTCTTTGAAAAGTAAACAAGAAACTTTATAACTCATTGACTAGTTCTTTTTACACTTTTTTCAGCTTTGGTCACTTGGGTGCCAGCATCTATGTCTGCAGCAGGCAGACACTAGTTCAGCAGGTGGGAAGGCATCAGACTGGCCTTTCTGTCTCCAGAGAGACCATCTGAGGCTCAGTCTACGTGAGACAGATATTTTTAACTGACTTACTGGGACAAAACAAATTAAAATGGAAAAGAGCAACTAGAGGAGGATAGAAAATCATAGTTTGTGCCTGAACTTGACTTCCTCTATTATGCCCTGGAGACATCTAACCAGATTCTGCCAAGGTAGGTTGGTACCTCCATTACTGATTCAAATCCAGTCAACCTCTTTGAGTATCAGAACAGTAGGACTCAATCTACAGACAAACTATTCTGTTCTGTGATAGTAAAATGGATATAACTGGTGCATCATGTGATGACCCGAAGAAACCAGAATTGCCCTTCAGGCTACTCCCAGTGCCGCTAGAACACTCCCAAGCTCACCCCTGGGCTTCGTGGAAGGCACGTGCTATCTTGCACAACCCGCCCTTTCTCTTCGCCGCAAGAGAGGAGTCTAGGAAGGCTGCTTCTGAAGCCCCACATTCCCTGCAGGTCCTCGCTTGCCCGCGGCTGACATTTATCAACTTGCTGCCGGCTCCTATCCTCTCGAATTTTCTTGCCCTTGAGATTTTCCATTCCAGAAGTGAGTTCTGGCTCATTCTTCATTAAATGACTTATTGCTGAAGCCGTGGATCAAACGATTGGTATTTTCTGCGTGTCGTTACTTGTTGAAAATATCAAGTTCCCAAGTGCCAGTTGTAGGATTGATGATAAAAGATTAAGAGGAATGAGTCAATGGTTTGGTTTTCCAAAACTATAGAAACATTTAAAAATAGTTGTTTGATATCTTCCCCAGACAAAAATCAATGCTTTTTAAATTTTCACAGAGCAAGGACTTAAAAGGAATAATCATTATATCCATGATGTGAATAATAAACTCTCAGCAAGAAGATAACTATTAGTCTATAGACCAAAACTATTCAGGGTAGCAATTTTAAACATTTACCTTTCTTTTTTATGATGCATTAAGTTTCAAAATCCCCCGTTTGATTTCGTAATAAAAACTGAAATGATCCGGAAGTAAACATTGGTGCGTTTTTAATCAAACACAAAATTTCAACCCCAAACTGGTATCAGTAAATTTAAGAGCAATGAGACAGAGCCAGATGCTGATGGGAACCAAGTTGGTTGTAATTTCAAAAGCACTAGAGCACTTCCCCGTGCATTTCCCAGCCCTGCTAAGAGAGGCGTCATCTCAGGAAGGCAGATCTGACCAGGGCCCTGCAGGAGCCTGCCATCTGTGTTGGTGTGTGGCTGTTTGTCCAGGCTCCACAAAAGCATCCTGAAAACAAGGCAGCGTAGCTGAGTGCAGGCCCTCGAATCAGATAGCTTTCGTTCAGATCTCAGCTTTCTGACTCTAAGGAAGCGATTTCACTTTCCAAAGCTGTGGTTTCCTCATTGGTAAAATGGGAGCAGTGAGACTACCTGCATTATGGTCTGTCGTGAGGACTGAATGAGATAGTTCATCTAACTCTTGCTTAGCACAGTGTCTGATGTACAGTAAGTGCTTATTAAGTGTTAGCCATGACTACAAATACCAAGCAAACAAACCCAAAAAGTGAAAACAAAAGTTTTTTAGACATCCTTGAATGTACGTATTTTTTAAAGTTTTTAAAAAAAGATCACCATATTTCAAGAGCTTTAAATTACAAGTAACAACTTTATAAAGTTACATTTCAAAAAATCTTAACGGAGATTCCATAAATGATATTCTCTTCGACTTAATTTAATAAGCACTGTATACATCGTGCTGGGCTCTGTAGGGAATACAAGTTAGTCACATAGCATTTTTTCTTGTTTTACCTCAAGGGGTTTATAATCATCTTGTGGAGCTTGGCAAACATCTGCAAAATTAGAGAATATAAAATAGAATTGATATAGGTACCTTTGATTTATAGTATTTCTAAAGTCTCTGTAGCATCTGTTTGAACACGTCATTAATATACCTCCCTAGCAAATGTATCAGAGATGATTCTCAATATAAGAAAGCAGAAAGGAAAAAGTTTAAGTAGCTTCTCCATGTGTAATACACTTTACAAGGAGTCACTCACTTTTGATAATGTACAGGAAATCATGAGAACTTATGCCAAAAAAAAAATAAAAGTTTCTTAACTCTGTATTAGAGAAACCAATTGTAGATTAAATTTTTCAAATTCAGAAAGTCTGTGTTTGCTCTGAAAGCCTGGGCTTAAATGGATATGGTCAATCAATAAGAACTTTCTCTTCTATCATGTCCTGTGACATTTACATGAAACTTACTTACCCCAAAATCTATCACCGTGAGGTTTAGCTTTTTAAAAATTTTTTTGATATTTGTGGTCTGAACTGTATTACAAAGTGTGCCTAGGAGTTTGACTGGCTAGTCTGAAAGTTATCTTCATTTGCATGTTTGAACTTAAAAATAATCCTTAAATTAAAATATCATTCTTGAAATGACCAGAGAATCTTCACCCTGACAAGTACCATATATTTACTGCTCTGTATTTTTCTCTTTTGTCAGAAGATCACCCATGTGCAACCAACCATCCATCAACAAAGCCACCATCACAGGTAAGAAGGATCTGAGAGCTTACTCTTCTTATGTCTGCAAAGAAACTGTATTTTCCAAGATTCAATCTAATATTAGCACTGTTTTTTTTTCTGCAATTCTAAAATATCTAAGAAATTAATCCTTTCTTCTCTATATTACCATTTCTCTTGTTGATCTCACAAGCTGTCCATTTAAGATATTGGAAAAATTAGCGATGTGTCACTTTTGAAAACCAGTCAAATTTGTGCTCTTATGAAGTGTAACGTTGCTCTGGGCATTTGTATTTTGAGAGAGAGCTTTACCTTCAAAACATTGACCATGTTGTTTCCAAGCTTGTGTTGTCAGCATAATGATAATAGACAGTAGCTTGGTTTCATGAAAGTCAAAGCATAAATAGAAGATACCTTCTTGGTGAATCAACATCCCAGTTGTCTATAGGGAGGGATGGCATTCCAGTACTCCTGATTTAGATGCAGAGAGTTGAGATTTAATTCAGTTTGGAATAGGAAAGAAGAAGTAATTATACAATACAGAAAAGTTCAATGAGATCAAAAGAACAGATGTTTGGGGAAAAGAAGTAGAAGGAAGAATAAGGGATATAAAGGCCAAAAGAATAAAATTACCCCAATTCCTATTAGTCTATTTTAGACATTGGACTTGACCCCAACTGAACCAAAAACAGAACAAATGATTTCATTTTGGTGAACCTGAAACCAAATTGAACTCATTTAATCACTTCTTGAAACCCCAATTGGTTCATTAAAATAATTGCCTGGGAAAGAAAACCTGTGTTTTTTTAAATTATTACCAGAAGAAAATTAACATGTTCTCCGAAGTAGACCAATACTTCACTTGATTCAAGTGTCTTCCTTGGACTGCAACTCATAATATGCTGAGGAGCTCATTATTACGTAAGTGACTGCACTTTGCTTGAGACTTAACTTCATCGTGTCCAGTCAGGACCTGTCAACCGGGCTCGTTGTTGGCCACCACACCACAGTGATTCTGGAACAGTTGTTAGTGTTGGTCTTTCCTGAATGTCTTTCAAATGGGGTTTGTGTTTCATGGAATATTACATCATTGGTACTCTTTTCCATGTTGATCTTTCAAGAGCTTATTGGTGATGGTTTTCAACTGGCATTTCATAGTCTATGTTCAGTTTACCTGTTTCCTTCTCGGCATCAGTCAAGAGATGAACAATCACGGAAGTTCCTATATATGACGATAAGTTCTTTGAGTAACAGTTTTTCTTCTTCAGAAACCCCAATTCAATATAAAAGAGCCCTAACTAAGATGGTGGTGTGGAAGTGGATGCCTTTTTTTCTGTGCACTTACCTGTGTTGAGAGTCACGCAGGCTGATTTGTGTGAGCATCTGTCGGGGGTCTCTAGTGAGAGAGACCTCACAGAACCTGGTCCCCAGCCTTGCTCTGGACACTCGGTCTGACCCCTGTAAAGAGAGACACCCCACTCATTTTTTTTTCAATAAGCCAGACTCCTCTGACGTTGCGGTTCATGCAGAACTCAGTGCTATTTTGGTCCCTGAAAGCTTTTGTAGCTTGAGGTCACATATGAGCCAACCCCACAGAGCATCCTCCCAGAAGAGCAGGTGCAGGTACGAATGAAGATTGTTGTATCCAACAAGAAGTGGCGGGTGCTCCGTGGTCAGGGCAGCTGTCCTGCCACCCTGCAGATGTCTGGCACTGATTAAAGAGAGAGTAGCGGCACTCAGAGAGTACAGACTTGGTCTCGAACACATGTGAGAGACCCCATAGGAGCTCCCAGGAATTTCCACATACTCCGAGGAGCAATACCAGAGGGAACTATAAGCCACTGAAATCTGGGCATCCATCCAGGTTACAGTGGCTTTGTTTGTACCCACATGATCTTGACCTGAGACCTAGGGGACAGTGGGGCTATAGAAATATCTTATCTAGGAAGGGAAACTAATTAACTGTCATTAACTGCTTTGTGCAGCTGTGTTCATCACAAAGCACAACAGGAAATGAACTGACTAGAGAATGGAAGTCTTTTTCCTGCCCAAGCATAGCAAATCAAGGGAAAAAAGTGTATGAGGGGGTGGAGAGATGAGAGCACTAGCAAGGGACATTCCCCTCTCTGAGTTTATTCTGAAAAAGTGGGCTGTTAGAAACATAAATCATGTGGACCTGGAGATCATCATTCTAAGTGAAGTCAGCCAGGAAGAGAAAGAAAACTACCATATGATATCACTCATATGTGGAATCAAAAAAAAAAAGGGACACAAATGAACTTATTTACAAACCAGAAACAGACTCACAGACATAGAGAAAAAACTCATGATTAACCAGAGGGGAAAGGGGGTGGGGAGTGATAAATTGGGAGTTAAAGATTTGCAGATACTAACTACTATATATAAAATAGATAAACAATAAATTTAAACTGTATAGCAGAGGGAACTATATTCAATATATTATATTAACCTATAATGAAAAAGAATATGAAAGTGAATATATGTATGTATATGTATGCCTGAAACATTATGCTGTACACCAGAAATTGACACATTATAAATGGCTATACTTCAATTTTAAAAAAAGCATAAATCATGATGACAGTAGTCATGAGACTTGGATAGAAGACTAAGCCCCACAGATAAGGAGGTACTCGGGCATCTCCTCCCTCAGCAGCTGACTGCTAGGACCTGCCTCCACGTTCACTCCCCCTGCTGTTGGAACTCAGCAGTATTCTACAGTCGTCCCTGCAGGGGCGGAGAAGAGGGTTAACGTATGTCAGTGGAGCACCCTAGAAGATGAACTTGGCCTTCTCAGGAAATTTCTGAGGGTCTAGAGGAACAGTGTAGCATATAGTTAAGTTCACGGTTGGTCCAGAAGGCTGCTGTGGAGCACAGCTCCAGGGCGACGCCACAGAGCATCACTGACCACTGACAAGTGCTCCTGGTAGTGTGCAGTGGGGGTGCTCCGCTTGTCCAGAATCCAAACCATGTTCTATCGCGATAGCTGTGTGACCCGGAGCAGGGTACAAACCCTTTCCCTGCTTCAGTTTTTCCATTTACAAAAAGGTGATCGTACTTCATATGGTTATTGCTAAATTAAATGAGTTCACGTGTGGGATGCGCTTAGCATAGAGTCAGCACTCAGTGCATCATTTTATTTTGTTTTGTTGTTGTTTTATTTGGGTATTGTTCTTAAGATTCATTCTTTATGTAGAACTAGGGGTGATGGAAAGAATAGGCCAGAGAGATTAAGAAGGAAAGGGAAGAGTGAGAGAAAGACAAACTGGCGAGGTTATAAGAATGAAAGTTATGGACCCCCCAAAAGTGATCACAGTGGACACACTTCCTTTGTGCCTGTTAAAAATGGGGCCTCCAGTCACTCCCAGCGCTGTGTCTCGTCCTCTCAGCTCAGCCGCAGACGTTGGTGCCTTTGGGATGTGGATGATAAACTGTTGTTCAGGATTATTTTCAAAACTGAAGAACTTACTTTTGAGTCACAGAGTGTGAAGAGAGAAAATTAGCTCTCTGTAACTTCCCCCATAAGTTACCTCTTTGAGTTTTTAAAAAGAAGAGTACAGTTCATACTCTGCTTTCTGAAACTCTCCCATAGAACTTAGATATACCTTGGAGGTTATTCCATTTGACACGTGTTCAAGCCTGGAAAGTTCAATTTTATATCATGAGGGTTCAAGCACGTTCGTTCCTTGCCATCTTTTATTTCCATATGTAATAGGTAAATACAGCAGTTTAACAGGTTTTACAAATAAAACTTCCAAGTGTGCATTGATGAAAGAGCCCATCCCACAGAATAGCTATTTTGTTCTTTAGCATGACGTAACAAAAATGCGGTTTGTGGCATTTGGGACTTGAGTGCAGGCCATGTCTCTCTTGTTCACTTTATTTCCTCGTTTGAAGACTGGAGATAGGAGTCCCTCACTCTCAGTGCTGCTGCAGGAATTCAAGGAGATGTGTTAGATGAGGAACAGAGCCTGTCACGAGCAAATCACCAGGTATTTCTTCCTGCAACCCTACTCTATGCCTGACGTTTTGTTGTTCTTCCTGAGGCTAATTTAAAGCTGGTGGAATAGAGGAGGAGGATGTTGATGATGTGTCGACTTTCCTGGTGCATTTCATTTATGATTTTGTCTGCAAACAGTAATGGCAGGACATGTTTAGGAATCCCTGTGTTAACTCAGCAAGGCTCACCTGCGTAGGTGCTTAAAGGATGGTGACCAGCAGAACTGGAGCGTGTGTTAGAACCTGAGGGGGCAGCAAAGAGTCAGAGCTGCCCCAGCCGTACCTGCACGGTGACGCTGAGCCCTGGTCCTGGTGCAGAGCCCTGCCTCTTGGGGCACAATCAGTCTTTTGAGCATTTCATGTTCAAATGATGTTAACTCAAGAAACGTGTTCCTCGGCCATCTCATAAAAACTTGTCGGGTCTTCACGGTATCATTTTCCAATATATTGGTAAGGTCCATATTTTCTGTGCCTTTAATTATCTTTCAATTGAGGATTTTCATGCAAGAATGTAACATAGAGAAAATGTACTTAAACTTCTCTATTTTGAAGATGAGAAAACTGAGACCTAATGAAAGAAAATGCTACCTAGAGGCACAGCCAGGAATAAATACAGGATTCCTTTTTCCCAAAGCTATGGTCCTTTTCACACCTCTATAATATCACCCGTCAGATTAGGGTAGCATTCAGATCCACCGTTGAAGTGTATGTTTTGGAGAAAGTAAAAGAAATTTTAAAGGGTATCGATTTGTGAGTAACAGATATAGCATTGGGGTTTTTTTTTTTTTTGTACGTGGACTCGAAAATTACAAAGTATTGTGTCCCAGTTTCTCATTGGACAGGTCACTATATTTAAAGCTATTTTTATTATATCCATGTGTTATGTCTTAGGGCCCTCAGATAAGTAAAGATTGGCGGCCTAGATTACACTGTATAGCACAGGGAAATATACACAAAATGTCATGATAACTCACAGAAAAAAAAATGTGACAATGAGTGTGTATATGTCC